TATATGATTAGTAAATATAGTTTTACTTAATATTTCCTAAGAATTATCACATTGAAAATGAATTTTAAAAGATTTAAAAACTTTATTAAATTTAAAATTGTAAAAAAATGATAAATCTTGTAACCATTCATTTTAAAAAAAAAAAAAAAGAAATTTTTCTTCTTTAAAAGCAATTGAAAGCTTTTCTCCTATGTCTTAGTTTTATTACATTTTTTATTTTTTTTAACTCAGAACAGATTTGATAAGACTGGGTCTGATTTTGCAGAAACCATCTGATGATTTAAATTCTTCTAAGAATTCTCCTTTTAACTAATATAGCTACTAAAAATGATCACATTGAATTTCTCAAGCTTTCATAAAATTAAACAGGAGGCTGAAACACATGTAAAGAGAAAAATATTTTTACCAAGATTTTCTAATAAAAAATCTTTCAAAAATAATTTCATTCATTTGTAAATATGCCCTGAAAATTTCATTAAAATCCAACAATTATTTGATTTTACAAGAATTTCCAAATTAATGTTTGTCACCACAAAAACAGGCCAAAATTCCATATCCTAAAAGTTAGTACAACTGCTGACACAAGAAAAAAAAATTTTAACCAAAATTTTGAATTTTTAAAAAGGAGTAAAAAAAAAAAAAAAAATTTAATTAAATATCCCCAAAATACTTTTAATAATAACAAAGATTTTGAAAATAAAACTGTTTTCATTTTGAATATGTTTTCATCCCAGTGTGCTGATTTTTTAACGTTTTTGTGTAGGTACCTATATATAAATAATGCTATTTTGGTTGAAAGTTAAAAGGAATAAAAATCAAGCATTTCAGCTGAATTAAAATATTTTAAGAATGAATCAATTGGTATAAAAGAACAGTATTTGGCCTGAATATTGTTATATTTTTTTTCCAAATTACTTCCTCTTTATTTCAATGTCATTGACTACAATTTTTGTAACACATTTTTTTTAAATTGTCATGCATCAAATTATTGAACCAACTTTAGATTTATTGTAGAAATTCTTTTCAACCAGATCTTTTTGATGCCATCTTATCAATTTTTGCTACTTTTGGACTTGTTTCTTCTTTGAATTGTTTGATATTGTGACAATATTTGGAAGGATCCACCATAATGATATAAACAAGAGTTAAGGAATCAGAAACAATATGGTTTTATACAAAACAAACAGAAATTCAAACAATAATTTCATATCTCACATCACAAAACAAATGAATAGTTCACATAGAATTAAAAAAAAGAAAAAATACACATACATTTTAATCTATGTTTATTAATATAGATTATTTCTGTTAATGATAAAAATGAGCATAGAGTTCATTCAGAATTACATAAAAATAATTTATATTTTTTTAAAATAAAAATTATTCATAATGACTAGTATTAACAATTACTTCTAAAAGGATAAAATTTCTTATTAATTTTGTCTTAGTCAAGTCAAATTTAATGTTCTGACTAAATAAGGTTTTATCTATTTTTATGAAAAATTATGTTGTTCTTTCAAACAGAATTGAGAACTAAGAATCAACAAGGAGGGATTCTGAAAATGTTAGATATTCATCAAAAATTTTATTAAATTTGAATAATCAAATTGACATTCAGATTGTTTGAATGATGATTCCTTTCTCAAATCCTTCCATGACAAATGTAACTGTGCTGTCTCTCCTTTCAAACTCCTCTATCTCTTATCTGATCTTTTCCTATTGCATTTGCTACCCATTAGTCACCAACCAAGCAACCTTTTACTCTGTTATTGTTTCTTCTTACTATGTCTCCTGCCCACTTCCATCTTTGTTGTTTAATCACTTCTATATATTTCATCTTGGTCTGTTCTGATTCATGTTGATCTTTTTTGTAATTTGCATACTGTTTGTTTTCAAGTAATTTTTATTTTCCATGTTTCATACACATACGTCATAGCTGGCAATATACATTTATTATACATTTTATTTTTTAAGCATATTTCTAATGTGCTTTTCATTATGTCTCCACTTTTGTCAAATACTCTCTACCCCATTGCTATATGTGATTTTATTTCATTTCCTTGTCCTTTCTCTAAATGTTATCATATATCTGTAATTTTTTTTTTAAACACACTAAAAGGGGTGTAAAATACATATACACACATATCTCACTATTAAAATAATCCACACAAAAAATCCATTTACAAGGAACGAACACAGGTATAACTTAGCTGAAGCTTTATTCAACTTAGAATAGCATATATTCGACTGGTCTTAAGGGGAGATAATCCATACCACATTCTCCCTCGCTGGTTATTTGTAGGGGACAAAATCATTCCACCAACCCAGTCTCCTGCAAGTCCTTTGAGGACATCATGGCAGTTCAGTCAACAGCCGCCTCTAACATTGACTCATCTGAGCCTGTTGTCCCGGGTTTCTCTTGCCTACTACTTAGCATGGAAGTATAATCCATTGATTTGAAGTGTTTATGTATTCTTCAATTTGTAAGCCACTATGCATCTGATTTTGAAATAAGTGTCTGTTTCAGAGTGGACTCATGTTTAAGGTACTAAATCCTCATCACAAATAAAGTCATGTTGGTCCATTTGTTCTGGTAGTGATTCCATGTCTGATTTTTCTGGGGGGGGTTGACTCCCACATGGGCCAAATCCTTCAACAGCACAGTATTTATCTAAGTGCTGGACAAACACATAATGCAGGTTTACCTGTATTAATTTTACTTTGTTTACTAGCGAGTTGTTTTTACTGTGTCAAACATGGCATCTTAGAATGACTGTACCAGGTTGCAACAGTCATGGGGAGAGTGAGGTTCCTTGTAAAGTTTTATATTGAAATGGTAGAAACGTTTCATACGGTAGTGTGTTCATTGCAGTGCACAAGGGCTTGAATAGAATTCAGAGATTCTGGAAGAAGGTTTTCCCAGTCAGTGATCGGGAACTTTCATTTTGCAGAATCCAACTGAATGATTTTCCAAATAGTGCCATTGTAATTTTCACACTGCCCATTGCCTTGGGAGTTATACAACATAGTTAGACTTAAGCCACCCATTGTCCATATGGAGAAGTTGTTCTGACATAAACAATGTTCCTTAGTCTGAATGCTGGGGGCTCCAAAAAGGGGCAAACAAGAAGTAAAGACATTTTATTACCATGTTTGCAGATGTATCTGGGCAAGGATATATGAACAGAAATCATGAATATTTATCAATTATAGTAAGCAGGTTTTCGATTCTAGTGAACCTATGAAGTTCACATTTAGCCTTTCGAAGGGTTACTCAGAGGTAGAACATTGATAATGAGAAGATGCTGAAGACCAAAATGAAGAGTTGGAAGAACTCTGAGACTCCTGAGATGCACCAACAGTAAGTAAGAAGAAAACAGATTGTTTCTGGGGGACTTCTAAAATTGTGGGCTGTCTCATAGGCAGTTCTTAACATCATGGTTTTGTCTTCAAAGAGTCTCTGCCTCACTTGAGCATTTTGAAGGCCATTTATAAAGATATCTACAATATATTTGTTCTGGGTTTCTTCCATATTCATCACTTTAAAATTGTAGTCTTTGCTTAGTGTTCTCAATTCAATTAGGTAGTGCTTGAGTGATTCACCATCTTCCTATTTTCAAGTGGTGAGTAAGTGTCGAGTTAAAATGTCATTTTTAGGCTTGACGTAAATTGTGTGCAGCAAGTGTATGGCTTCCTCATAAGAAGGGGCATCTGAAATTATCCTGTAGACAGAGGAGGACAGTTCATTATCAGCTTTGTCATGTCTATTGAGAGAGTGCTCTGCTTTAAGGGTTTCTAAGTTTTTGAATGCTAAAATTCAATGGGTTCATTGCTCAGCAGCTGTGGTATGGTCAGGGTCGATGTCAAACCTTTGTGGTCTCCTACAATATTCCATGTTGATTCTAAGTTGAATAAATTGTAGTGAGAAAATGAACACTGGTATAACTTATCTCAAGCTTAAATACAGAATCCATATCACACAACCCTTTTTTCTACTGAGCTGAAATCATAAAATTTTCTCTTTCGGGACATAAAAAACAGTTTCGCAAAGTCCAAAGAAGTTGTTAGTGTCTTGAAATTCAGGTCAAGCTGATGGTCAGAATATTTCCTGTCTGATCTTTCTCATTTTCTTCATTCAAAATTTATCTCTTATGAAGAGTTTTATGGATTTTTAAAAGATGAAAATCGGCATTACCAAATAGCATTATATGTGCTCCCTGCAGTTGTTTCCAGGGAAATAAATATGAGGCATTACATTTAGAGAATCCCTTTGTATGTTACTTTCACCTAATCTTTAAAAAAATAGAGTAATTTCCATTATATTTTTCAATTAACCAAACTAATCTCATTTTTCAATTTGTCATCAAGTTTTTTTTTTTAATTTATACTTGTCAGTTATTATACAATGAGTATTGCAGAAATGTTATATTATTTTCTTCTAAATGTTATTTAGTTTTTTTAATCTATTTGTTTTTTCAAGTATATCTTTGACAACTCAAATTTGGTTAGGGTTAGAGACAAAAAGTAACTTTAAATAAAAGCATATAAATATATTTCACTACTTTATATAGTGATTTGAGAAAAGTTAGTACAATATCCAACACATGATTTCAAGTCACATTGTTTAATATTTGTTCAAAAATGAATTATAAATTCTATTATTGTTCCTAAATTATTTTTATTGTCAAATATTTTTATTTGACAATGAAAAACAAATTAGGAACAATAACAGAATTTATATGTAGAAAGTTAAATTGTGTAAGATAATCTTATTCATTGAATGAGAAACAATTTAAATTTAGAAAAAGCTAAATTTAAATGGTTTTATTATCATTATTTCTTTAAAAAAATTGACAATCATGATCTAAATTGATTTCATCATTTTTCATAAATCTAGAAGCTTTTTAAATTGAATAATCTTATTTTGAATGAATAAACATTTTAGCAGTTTTCAACTTCTATCTAAAAATAGAAATTCCACTCTATATCTATATTAAAAGTTAGTCTCTTATGTAAATTGTATTATGAATTAATAATTTTTTGTAAAAATTAAAGAAAATTACATAATTCAAAAACTGAAAGGATATTTTCTTTTTGTCCTTGCGACGTATGTAAACAATTGGGAGAGCTCGTCCATATTTTGATATAACCCACTTCTACAAAAGAAATAGCAATGTAAAGTAATTTTAAAAAAATCACATATTTGCAATTTGATATAAAAAAATAGTCAAATATTAAATCAAATATCAATCAGACAATTACAAAATTGTCAATTATTAGAAAAAACAAAAAACAAAATAAAGTTAATTTCATTTAAATATCCCCTTTTATCATCATTAATTTTTATTAGCTAATTTTATTTTATTAAATGCATAATTATCAAAAATGAATAGAAAAAACAGTGTAAAGGAAATAAGTAAATATTTTTAGTGTGAATTATTCATAATGCAATGAAATATCTTTCTTCATTTTTCCACTGATAATCAAAACATTCTGTTTCATTAAATTTTATCCTAATATTTTACTTAATTAAATGTGAAACTTTCATATCCAAGAGACCAGGTTATTTCTATGTAGAAAGTTAAATTGTGTAAGAAAATTTCAAGAAAAAATTATTAATTCCCAAGAGACCATCAAAATAAAAAATGCTACCTATCCAAGAGTGGGGCTGAAAAGTTTATAGGCTGACTATGAAGGATTGATGCTAACACTGAAATCTTGCATGCATTAATTTCAACTCTTCTTATTAATTGTTTCTTTCCAGGTAAACTGATATCTGACTGTTCAAAGAAGACTTCAAATGTAACTAGTAGCAACTTGAAAATAAACAAAATTTGGCATCATAATGTTATCAAATACCTGCATAAAAAATTCTGACATGGTTACTATATTAGGGGATGACCCTCCAGCTTTATCAACAGTACAAGAGTGGACAGCTAAATTTAGAAGAAGGGAAGTCTTGAAGATGAAGTTCTAGACCACCTGCAGCTGCCACCACTAAGAAAAACATTGAACATGTTCATCCACTATAAATCAAATAGTCAATGCTATTAGAATATCTTGTGAAAGAGTTGATATTCTGAAAACACAAACTTTGCATGATGAAGGTTTCAACTCAGCGAGTGCCACTTGATCAAAAGCGCAGTCTGATTCCATCACAGGAATATCTGACATTTTTTTGAGGTAGATCCAGCTGGTCTCCTTGAACATTACCTAACAAGATGAGTGTTGGGTTCATCACTTTGAACCAGAGACAAAGACATAATCCATGCAGAGGAAGCACTCCTCTTCAAATGCAAAATGCCCTACACACAAACCACCAATCTGACACTGGGTGGCATGCCACTATTGTTTATCACTGGTGGCCCACTAGAGACCCACCGGTGGCTGCCACCATATAACTGCTGGTGTTGCCATTTTTGGGATGCAAAAAGCATTATGGTTATTGACTTTCAAAAAAGCCCATACTATCAATGGAGAGTACTATGCCAATTTGCTGAGGCAGTTACAAAAGGTAATAATCAAGAGCCAATGCTCAGAAAAATTAATGTAAGAGGTCTTCTTTCATCAGGAGAATGCTTAAGCAGACAAGTCCTTGGTTTGAATGACTGCTGGACATGACTGTGGCTTTGAACTGGTTGAATAATCTGCCTATTCTCCTAATTTGACTATCATATGTTCCCCAACATGGAAAAACACTTGGCTAGGAACCAGTATCATAATGATGCTATCTGCTATTGATGACCTTTTTTGATCAACAGGATGAACAGTCTTCTTTAAATAGTTAGATACCAATTTATCTAGAAAGAAACAATACAGTTATTAATAAGAGTTGAAATTAATGTATGCTAGTGGCCCAGTGGCAACATCAGCTCTCCTCTGGTGGCAGCTACCAGTGGGCCTCTAGCAGTCTGCCAGTGATAACATAGCCGAGACAAACACATCCGCAGTCTGACAGTGGCATGCCACCCAGTGGCAGAATGGTGGCTTGTGTGTAGGAGCAAGATTTCAGAGTTCTAGCATCTCTCCTTCATAGTCAGCCTATGAACATTTTTAGACCACCATCATATATTAGATAAATCATAATAAAGAACCACTACACATAAAATCTATACAGTTAATAAACATACAAAATATTACATATATCTGTACATTTTTCCATAAAAACTTATAACCCCTAAACAATAAAAGTCACATTATCTTAGATACTGGAGACAATTTTGTTAATATGGAATCATTAGAATGAACAAACTACTAAAGGACTTATTTTCAAAATATTGTCACACATGGAAAAATAACATCAAAGAGAATGTTTCATACTCATAACAGTTCAGTTAATACTACAGCATACAATTCAATTTTTTAACTCAATAAATTAAGCCTTTTTATAAAGTCAAGTTTTAGAATAGTAATAATACTATGTTACTAAAAGTTACAATATATATTTTTAAAAATATGGATCTGTATCGAACTTTATAAGAAAACTCAGGTTGATTCCTATATTTTAAATAATATACCAAATATATCATGGGTTTATGAAGGCACTATTTATTTCATTAACTTACATATTATCCTGTTTTCAATTTATGGATCAGTTTTTTTTTTTTTTTAGTGTTTTGTTTTGTAAATATATCTTCCCATATTCCTTATTCAGGAAACTGTTTAAAAGCTGTCATCAGAAATTATACATTCACTTTCTATCAAACCTCATGACAAATAAAAAAATAAAAAATAAAAAAAAATGAATTATTATTTTTACTACAAATAATGTATAATATGAAAATTGCCTTTATTCCTGGAATCTTGGTGCCTGGAACAGCACTTTTCATATCCAGTTTTTTCAGATTTTCAGATTTCACTATTTCTTTTGTTTTGATTTCACAGTTTTGTTGCTTACATTCAGCAATCTGTTTAAGTAATCTGCAAGAGAAAACTTTTTAATCGTGTAACTTTATTAATTATATATGAATAACAAATAAAACAAGAAATTCAAAATAAAAATAATTTAGAGAGCTACAAAATCATCAAATAACAGTTCATTTTTCACTGAGAGAAGAAAATTAGCTCCAGAAAAAAAAAAAAGTTTCTCTGGTACCCAGAAAATTTTGAAATCTAACTTTTATCCTAGATTTTTTTCCTATTAATATTGAGGGAAATTAGCAAAATATCATTTCATCATCATAAATCTAAAAGTGAATAATAAAGTAACAAAAACAAAACACTTACTTGTGATAGAAACATTCTTTGGCTATTTCAACACATATCTCTTTGGATTTCCACTTTGTATTATTCAATAATGAAATACCTAAAGATAAACCATAATTATTATTTATGATGAAGGAAACAACAGAATATCAATTTGGTATTCATAGAATATCAATTCCTTCCTATATTATCAAATGTTTTAAGTATCTTATCCTCATACTTATTCTATAACCAAATGTTTTTTCCAATAAAAATTCTTAGAATTAGGCAACCTCCTGCCCAAGAAACAGTGTCAAAAGCATGATTTTTCGCTTTACACCATTATTATTGTATATGCCCACAGTAATTTTTAATATTTTAAATATAAGATATTTTTATAATTTTATGTATAAAACATTTATTTTCATCTTTATTACTTTACAATATGGTAGATTATAAAGAACTGTTGGAACTGCTAGGTAACCATGACATATTTGGGAAAGAGATTAGAATAACTCAGAACATATACTGGCAGCAAACTGACTGCATGGATAGAAAATGAATTCAGTAAATATACAAAAATAGGAATGTGTGTAATATGTGTTATAGACAAGCGTATGGTTGCAAGAAAGAAATACGACAACAGCAGAAATAGATTTACATGGTTTATTTCAACAGTTGATTATTTCGCGGTTTTTGAATTCCCACCAGTAGCTGGAAAGGAGTTCTCGCATACAAGTAACACCTGAGTGGTTGTTGCCCTCGTGTGCCTGGTAGAGGTATCTGGGTTGTAGTTTGTATGGTACAACCAATCTCGGAGAGTGTTTACTGTCTCTTATCATCAAAACGGAGGTGCCTGGTTCTAGAAAAAATTGGTGCAAATGTTTTTTGAAAAGTGTAGCTCGGTGGTCGTCAGGATCAATATGAGGTTCGCTTGGAGTGGGTGACTGCAGAGCGCTGATGTTCTTTGCCAGGGCGTCAACCTTCTGTTGTTCATCTGCGATGCCGAGGTGGTTGCAGATTCTCTCAGTAGGGATGGTGGTGGTGGAGTGATAGGCGAAGAATGCGTTGGTAACGCTCTTGTGGGTGCGGGCATTTTGTGGTGTGTGAGTTTTAAGAATGAGCTGTAAACCGTTAAACTACACGGAAGTCTGAACCGCTTACCTCAAATGTCCTGCCTGCCAGTGTAGGGTCGTTCGGGGCTTTCGTTTTCTTATGTCCGCAGCCTCTGCTGAGCATGTCAGCCCTTACATTTGATTCGCCTTTAACATATTCCAAGACGAATTTATAACATGAAATTTCTTCTTATCGTCATATTTTGGCATTATTGAACTCTCGTTGGTCCAGATATGTCAGCGATCTGTGGTCGGTGAAGATGACGAAGGGGCGGTTGCGAAGGAAATAATCAAATTTCAATATCGCCCACTTTATTGCATATGCCTCTCATTCCATCGTGGACCAGTTCTGTTCCGTGGAGTTGAATGTATGGGAAGCGACCGCTATGATATCTTTCTTCTCATTGTCGGCTTCTTGCATTAAGATTGCTCCACATGCAACGTCACTGGCGTCGGTGGTGAGTGTGAAAAGTTTGGAGAAATCTGGAAACGAGATGACGGGTGGTGAAGAAAGACGGTCCTTGATTTTTTTGAAGGCTCTGTCGGCATTTTGCGTCCAGACAAAAGGTTTATTAACCTTGTTGAGTTCGTGTATGGACCCATAAGTTTTGAAAACATATCTGACCCGATTTGCTCGTGAAGACGTGTCTCTAGGAATTGTCTGATCCACAATAAACGGCCTATAAGGCTATGTAATTCCTTTTTTGATGTTGGAAGTTTCATTTCCCTGATGGCATGAACGTATTCTGGATCAGCCTTGAATCCTTCGCTGTTTACTATGCGTCTGAGGAATTCTGCCTCTGATGCGAGGAAAGAACATTTATCGGGATTCAGCTTGAGTCCGAATTTTCGGAGGGCAGTAAAAAATTGTTCGCAGGAGAGTATGTACTCCCTAAATGTCCTAGCGTGGACCAGGTTGTCGTCGATATAGGAGGAAATGTTGTCACGGGATGTGACCGTGGCTAGGGCTTCTGCTATCCAACGGAAGAAGATTTGTCTGGCAGATGTAAGGCCGAAGGCCAGGCGCGTGTATTGATAGCATTGGTCCTTCCATGTAAATGCTGTTTTGTATCGGTCTCGCTTGTCGATCTCAATTTGCCAGTAGCCACTGCGTAGATCAAGGGTAGTATCTATTGCCTTTGCCGATTTTGTTGAACAAGTGGTCGATCCTTGGCATTGGGTAAGGGTCAAGATTGACTAAGACCTTGTTGAGAGTTCTTTTAAAGTTAGCAACGACACGAATTGATCGGTTTTTCTTGCGTACGGCAAATACAGGGCTATTGAAGCCTTTGGGGTCGTTGCAGTTTTCAATGATACCTTTATCAGCCATACGCTTAATTTCGGTATTCACGTCTGCTTCCAAAGCCTGGGCTATCGGGTGTTGTTTCTGGCTGCGAGACTGAACGTTGGTTGGTATGCGGATGGGTCGGATGAATGTGCCTTTGCTGCTGCTTTCTGTGCCAATAATGTCAGCGTAGCGAATGAGTAAGTTTGCAGTGGCCACTAGTTTGTCTCGGTTCGGTGGTTTGGTAGCGATAGCCCGTGTTATCTTTAGCCAGGTTAGCTTTTGATCCAGTGTCTGGATGTTGGGCTGTAATTCCATAGTAGGCTGGTTTTGGATGATGTCAGCTTGGGCGCCATATGCTGGATCGTTGGTTGACGATGACGGTGATATGATTGCGGCCGTGTGTGTTGTGTATCCTGAGGAAAGTGTGCATCTGAATTCTATAGTCGCATTTTGATTGTCGATTAGATAGGAATTGAGCATATTGTGACATAGGATATTTTGGCCAATAAGGATCGGTGTGGTTTGGGTAGTTACCAGCACGTTAACCTTTTTGAATGTAGGTGAGTCTCAACTGCCGATGGTGATGTCGCAAGTCAGTTCACCGAGGGCAGTGGTGCTGCTGTTGATTCCTTTTACCACGACGTCAGAGCGGGTCATGAGTTTCTTGGCTTCTCTGGGTAACTGAGATATTGGTACGATGCAGGTGGAGCATCCAGAGTCTAGCATTGCGACGCCAGAGAAGGTGATGTCCCTGAAGTTGAAGGTGGACTGGACGAGCGGTGAATGGTGAGCGAGTCCTTGAAAGTTGAAGGTGTGATGGCTGACATAGGGGCATGGCGAACGAGGCATCACATCTCGTCCTGCCCGAAGCGAAAGTCCTGTTCCACATCATTTATGGCTTGTATATTATCATTCGTTGTGGTGATATGGGCCTGTGCCCGAGTGTGAGGTGGGTGGCGATGTAGGCAGTTGCGTTCATGGTGGCAGGGGCGACCTCTGAGGTAGTTCTTGCACACGCTGATTCGTGGTGTGTGCTGATGGTTTCTGCATGTCGGATGGTGGCCATGTTCGGGGTTGTTGGTGAGGCCCGTCTGCTGTGGGTTTGGTTGGCTGCTGGGTCGGAGTGGCGCGTTTCTTAGGTTTGACCGCTGTGGTTTCTGTGTGAAATACAGTGTTGTGCAAAGTCGTGTCATTGGATTTTACACCACGATCAAGGTATATTTGAGCTTCGGAGGCTATGCCAACGGCTGAATTGTGGTTGTCCATTGTCTTGACGAGATGTGGGTAAAGATTTGAGTTCCAAATTTTCACCTTTTCGCTCATTAGCATAGCGCCAATGATGGAAATAAGTCCATCGACTGTATTTTTGTCTTTTTTGTATTTGTTTTTTATGTGGACGGCTGCCTCTCTAAGGGTGTTTTCAAGTCGACCCGCAAAGTCTGTTAATTTTTCGCCGTCTCGCCATTCCAGAACCCAGGCTTGACTGAGGTGTTGGAAATTAGTCATCTGGCTTCCGTGGGCTCCTAATAAGTATTCCTTCAGTTGTTCAAAGGTGGATATGTCCTTTTTTGAGTCAACCATCTGCTGAAAGATACTTTGGTCCAGTAAATCTTTAGCAGACTTCACGAATTCGCATTCCAGGCTGGGATAGGTGCTAGGTTCTGGCGTGACATGGATTGTGTATGCTTTGTTTAGGGCCGTGATGAATCGGTTCACGTCGTGTCCAGGGTGAAAAGTTCTCTCTAGCTTCAATATGTCGCGTATAGTTTGTTGGCGCATCATTAAGCTGTAATCGCCGTTTGTTTGAGCGGTGGGAGGTGTTAAAGTAGTTGATTTTAGGGCAGTCAGCATGTCGTTTATGTCAGCTTGAATCTCCTGTATCGTGGCTTCGGAAGGCTGTGTTGGTCCTGTTTTCAAGTTGAATAGTAGTGTTTTCTGTTCCTTGATGAGAGTAAATAGTTCGGCTTGGGTGAAGCTTGTGTAGTCGGCCATATTTCTCTTGCTGTACGCTTCTGACACTAGTGTTATAGACAAGCGTATAGTTGCAAGAAAGAAATACGACAACAGCAGAAATAGATTTACGTGGTTTATTTCAACAGGAATGTGAAGGTTTGGGACAGCTACCTTGTGGTAAAGTTCATAAGCCGGCTAGGTCGATCTCTCATAGTAGTTCACACATGTTGACACTGGCGCTCCCTTGCTGACAGCTACTGACCGCATGGGCTGACTGTGATAGGTCTGTTCCCTGGCCACCTGTGACTGACTGTTGAACTTCCGTGTGACCCCTTTTATAGCATTTTTTATGGCTTAACAGGCTCGAAAAACGAAGCGAGTATAATTAGCAGGGAAGCATTTTTATTGGACGAAAAATAGAGCACTTTAAATATTATTTTATTTTTCGATCGGAACTCGTGTGTCGGGAACATTTGTAAAGAAAGATAATGGTCATTTTGTGACAGGGCTTTGTCCCGTTCACATCCAGTTCTCGCTCGAGTATTTGCCTGTAAATCAGCCGAGATATGTCTTATTTTATTTTATAACATATGAAAATGTGTCTTTTCACTGGACTTATCCAACCTAACTAGTGAGGCAATTCTGAAAGAATTCGAAGTCCTACAATGATTCATTATTGGTGGTTACAATTTTAACAACATAAGATATGCAGATGACACAGTGTTGATTGCAGAGACAGAAAGGAAACTGCAAGAACTCCTACAGAATGTAAGGAAGAAAGGACTAAACCTCAATTGCAAGAAGATAGAATGCATGGTTGTTAGCAAAAGAAACAACCCAACACACAAATTACAAACTGGAGATACCAAAACAAGTACAATTTAAATATCTGGGAAGTGTTTTAACAGAGGAGGGAAAGTACAACATTGGAATCTGAAGTACATTAGGATAGCAAAAGATGTTTTCCAAAGGCTAAGCAAAGTATTAAAAAACAGAAAAATTTTGTTAGAAACAAAGAAAAGAGTACTGAACTGTTATGCAATGTCAGTCCTTCTATATGAGAGTGAATGCTAGACAATCTCCTCAGATGAAGAAGAGACTTGAAACAACAGAAATGTTGTTCTACAGAAGGATGCTGAGAATATTACGGACTGAACATGCAAGCAACAACAAAGTTTTAGAGAAAACGAAAAACAAAATGGACATTTATACATAACATCAGAAAGAGATGATTGAAATTTCTAAGGAACATAATAAGGCTTTTCTCATTATGTGCTCTAGAAAGGCTTTGAAAACTTGATACACACAGAACAGATTGAAGGCAAGAGAGACAGAAGAAAACAATGCATAAAACTTCCTAGAATGAGTAAATGGATGGCAGAAGAGGGTTCAGGAAAGAAACAACAAAAAAAAAAAAAAAAATTTATTAAAAGCTACAAAGGACAGGAGAGCTATGATTGTCACAGCACTTAGAAGAATAATTAAAATGAAAGTAAAAAGGGTTTTTTTTTAACCTTTTTTACATTCAAATTATCATCTAATGGCCCTAGAAACTATTTTTATTAATTCAAGGCAAACTTCCTTATGTAAACAGTAGGAATGGTTGCTGAGATTCAATTTGATTTATCTTTACAATATATCCATCCCAGTATATTATTGATACAGTATATTTTCTATTCCAGGTTTTCTTTCAGTTTGTGCACAAAAAGTTTTATTCTCCTTGAGTTCTGAGGAGTAAGGAGCAATAACTTTTTTCTTCTTTCATATTAAATTACTGAAGTTGTTTTCCCTTTTTTACCTTCATTTTAATTATGTCTATCCTCTTTGCTATAATTCAATTTCATACCTACAAGATCTTCAAATGTATAATTAAAATTTTTTTAAATGTTAACTTACATGTCTGCAAACTTTTATCATCTGTCTTCATATCCAAGAAAGCAAAAGTTTTAATTGGTTTCCCTATGGAAAATGAAAAGTTGATATTTAAGGGGATACCAAACAATTCTGATTACAATTTTAACTTAAAATTGCATTTACAAGACTCAATACCATTCTCAGATTCCATGATGGATGTTAATCAAGAATAGAATTTAAAAAATCAAATTTTTGAAAAAAAAAATAGTTTTGAATTTCTGCTAAATGTTATCTCAATTTTTTATTAGGTTGGAACAAAAGCAATGGCTCAGCACTAAAAAAAAGTGCTGCATTAGTGGTGATCAGTTTTTGCATTTCCCTTCTTTTAATGCAGCATATTATTTAGAAATTCTGCATCTCTCTTTCAGGTCTTATTTGAACTGTTTGTTTCTGTAAGGTATTGAATTAAATTCACTTCTGGTGATGGGGTCCAGATCTCCAAGATCTGACCTTTACAATGACAAGTCAAGGGCAGTCATAGAGGTTCATCCAAAAATAAACACTGGGCCATCAAGTGCAAAGTATGGAGATAATTAATACAAGAGACATCAGGAGCAATTTGGCAAACGAAACAAAAAAATTTGCTGAAGTTGGTACCCAGTGATTTGACTGATGATCAGTAATTTCCAGGATTTGCTGCAATTTGCGTGTTCATTTCAAAAATTATCCTTTTCCTTGATTGAGCGCTTACTGTTGATGAAAAGTGGTTACTTTTTAATGATATGATATAGTGGATGATAATTAGAAATGTGGTTTTCTTTGGGCTGACAAACTTACTCCGTGACTAAACATTTCCAAAACAAATCTTTACCTCAAGAGCCTCCTGAATGTTTGGTGGTGCTGTAATAGAGTAATTCATTACAACTTCTTGCAACTTTAGATGTATTGATTTGGAACTGATACATCAAAAGTTGCAAAAGTTTTGCCAGCAGTGGTGAATAGAAAGTGGAATAAACTTATACTTTGCAAACCACCTGGTAAAAACTAATGCAATTAAAGCAGTGGTTCCTAAACTTTTCTTATTCATTGTGCACTTTACATATAAAAATATTTTGGTGTACTTTGTACATAAACCTCACTTGTGCAACTGTGAAAGTGTGGGCCAGTTATACTGCAGACACTCAATTCAGACTGTATAACCCAGCTTCCAACCTAACACCACCACAAATGAAATTGTCTTCTCTACTTGTAGCTGTATACAGGAATTTTATTAGGAATTTCAGTCTATTTATTTTTTTATATATATATATATATATATATATATATATATATATGCTAACATTTTAAAATTTGTCCGTTTTGAGTTCAAAACGGATATTTTTATCCATTCTCACTCAACATCTTAGTTAGATTACATTTTATTAGATTAAATTGTCAAGATAGCATTCATAGAAATAAACTTGGAAGCTGTTTTGTAAATCATTTTTATGGTTTCAATAAAATGAACAGAAAATGACTAATTATTCATAAGTACCAACATACATTATTCTTAATTGACACTCTTGTCTGTTTTCAATTAAACATGTATACAAAGATTAAGAAAAAAAATTCAATTTATATCTACTAAATAATTTTACAAATATTTTCTTTATTTTTATTCTATTGTTCCTAAATTGTCACATGAATTTATTTCTGGTCAAATTATTTTCAATTTACTTAATATATACTATTTATATTCTGAAATAAACATCATGAACTTTGTGATTACAAACTTTAAACAGTCATAGCATGAAAATTATAAGTTCCAACACAGTTTGCCAAAATTGATATATTTAAAAGTTGGTTTATTACATATATCTAGAAATTAGTTTAAGGATCAGAATCAAAAAAAAAAATATAGTAAAAATATATTTCTGGCATGAGCATTACAAGTAACAATGGACATAATGATAACTTTAAACATTCACTTTTCATGGGGAACAATAAATGTTTAGTTTTAACAGTCAACAAATTAATAAACTTGCTTCATATATCCAAAGAGAATAACTAAAAGATTCTCTAATAAAAAAAAAAATAGGTAAATTTGCTTTTTAATGCCTGTGCTAAATATCTCTTAAAATTTTCCCAAATCGTCATAATTCTGTGTAAATGTACATGCTGAACTCAGTGTGGGGTACTTCCGTTGACATAAGACTAATTTTGGCCCATTTACTTTTACAGACTTTCGTTGTAGAAAATCACTATGCACTACCATAAAGAAATGTAATTTTCTTTCTTTTTTTTTCGTAAGTGTAGTTTTATTTATAACAAAAACAAATTAAATAATACAATAGAACCTTTTTTTCGTGTTGAATAGCAATGACAAATTAAAAGAAATTAAATAATACAATAAAGCTTTTATTTTAAATTAAAAGCAGATAAATTAAAAAAAAAAAAAAAAAAAAAAAAAAAAACACATTACAATAAACCCTTATTTCATTTCTAGCTTTTTTCTTTTTTTGTAATTTTATTTTGTACATATTCATGCTCTTTACAAAGTGTTATGTTTATGGGTTAAGTTTAGGGTTAGGTGGGGTTTGGTTGGGTTTCTTTCTGTGTAGAAAAGGAGACAAATTAAAAAAAACTTAAATAATAATAAAAAACCTGGTTAAAGGGTTAGGTGTTGGGTTTTCTTTCTGTGTTTACACAGAAAGAAAACCCTAACACCTAACCCTAAACTTAACCAGGTTTATTGTATTATTTAATTTCTAATTTTTAAGGGGACAAATTAAAAAAAAAAAACATTAAATAATACAATCAACCCTTATTTCGTTTCTACTTTCTTACCAAGCTTGCACATTTAATTGTTTGTTTTATTTTCAGTTTTAAAATATAAAAAATGCTTTATTGTATTATTTAATTTGTTCTTTTAATTTGTCATTGCTATTCTACACAGAAAAAAGGTTTTATTGTATTATTTAATTTGTTTATGTTTAAAGTTTTCTGTTATAAATAAAACTACTTATCAAAAAAAGAAAAATGCTTTACAATAATGCATAGTGATTTCAAAAAGAGATATAGCTGTAAAAGAAGTAAATAGGCCAAAATTAGTCTTACGCCAACGGAAGTACCCCACACTGTATTACTGAACATTATGGCAGTAATGTGGGACAAATGACCAACAAGAAGTGAAAGTCCTATTTTTCTTGTCAATAACTCCAAAACAATAGGTTTGTTCATAATTTAATTGTTAATTCGAGTTCAGCATGTATATTTACATGTAATTATGACGATTTGGAAAAATTTTAAGAGATATTTAGCGCAGGCGTTAAAAAGCGAATTTACCAAAAAATAAAGTAGTGATCATATTTTTACAAAGGAACAGTAATGAATAATTTGATTGCTCTGTCTATAAAACAAAATTTTATTAACCTAATTTGATATCTACTTATCTAGTATTTGCTCAAGCCAACAATTATAATTACAATTACGATAATGTAATCCCCCATGTAAAAAAAAAAAAAAAGCAAAATCAGAATTATCATAAAACTAAATTAGAATAATATTATTCTATGTTTAAAACTTTTTTTAAAAATAAGAATAGGAAATGCTGGCCATAATGAAATTGGAGAGGTACAAGTTATAGGGTTTAATTACCAAACAAGGAGTGCGTATTATGTGTAAGTAGAAACACTTTCAGCACAATTTTAGATGTGCGTATTATCATAGATGAAGGCGTATTTATACATGGAAAATTACGGTATACCTCTGTCAATGTTGTAAGATTTCAATCATAATATATGTATTAATTTGTACTGCCTATTTTTCTATAGAAAATTCATTTTTTTTCATTTTTGGTTTGAGTCAACAATGTGGAATTAAGAAATAAAGATGTCATGCAGGCAATTTAAACAAGTTTTAAACACAAAGCCCAAAAGCTAGAACATCTACAAGTAAGCATTCAACTGAAAGTGGCAAATTCTGCATAAATACTTAAAGAATAATGAAAAATACTTAGAATGCAAAAAGTTACAAACCTGTTTCATCTTTTTTAACTTGAATCTCAACACCTCCAATTGTTCCAAAGTGTGAAAATCTTTTAATTAGATCTAATTCTGTGATTCCATCAAACAACTTGCCAATAAAGATCCGTTTGGTTTGTGCCATCTGAGAAAATACAAATATTCATTTTTCAGAAGTTATTGAAGAATTTTCTGCTGTAAGTTAAAGACTAGAAGACCGTTAGGGATTTTAATACCGAACAAATTCACATGTTATGTACAAACAAACATGGAAGTCTTTTCAGGAGCCTAAATATAAAAATAAACATTTTCAAAATAAATTTTCACATTAACACAGATACCTAACATTGCTTAGAGGAAAATAACATCAAATATAACAACATATAAGAAAATATGTTCTTTATTTTTCTTAAACAACAACAAATGGTAAAAAATTATTTATAGATGAAAAAGAGGCTGTTACTAAAAAAAAAATATTCTAATGACCAAAACGAAACAAATGATGTGGTTTCTTCGGGTGACAGAGGTTCTAAATACACAATATTACTACTTCTCCCATTGGGTGGCAGTGTGTGAACAACCAAGATAAAGCCAGTGAAGGGGGAAAATATGAAGAAATCAGGTTGAGGCTACTGGGCAAATTTGACGCCTATCACTTTTTTGAAATTATAAGGATTCTAGGAATGAACACATCCTCTTTTTAGCCTCCCTCAATTTGGATACTTATCTTGAGGACATTTTGGAAATGACAGTTGTATTACACAACTTAGAAGTAAGTTGGGCATTCCAACTTTTAGATGAAGTCTGAAGACCAGGCAGCTCAAGAGAATTGGGAAATTCAACTTAGTTCTGAACAGCTTCCAAAGTGTCTTAAACTGAGTCAATTGACTTTTACAACAGCTTTGGGGTTATTTCTTTGATTGCACCATTCTTTAGAAAAAGAATGCTCATATAGCTACTGACAGCTTTTTGTAGTTTGGGGCTATTTGGTACATTTACAATAGCTGAAAAAAAATTCTTTAATCCTGATCATTTTAAAATTAGGTTTTTCAGTATTTCACAAACTATTATAAAAAAAAATTCAATATTTTTAATCCATTTAAGTTCTTTTGTTTGACTGAAAAAAAAAAAAAAAAACTAATTTAATCCAAAATTGATCTCTAGTAACCTCCAATGACCTTAGAAGTAAGAAACACTGATCTTCTCATCTATTTCATCTCAAAGTTACTCCCACATAACAATTTACCACTAATACAGATTATAAAGGGTACTAATTAATTCTACTGCCAGTGACCTTGGAAGTTGAATTTGAATTTTATCCAGCCTATTATTATAAAGTAAAAAAAAACTTCATGGTAAATTCATAGCTATATACTCAAACTTAGAAGTATTTATCAATCTGAGCTAAGAATGGCACAAGATCTAAATAATGAGCAGGAAGACTGTGTTGCCAATCTTCTAAGTACAGGTCTATAATAAAAATTCTGCATTTTATAAAAATAGCACCTCCACCCCCATACAACTTGGTCACCAAACAAATATGTTTTTTTTTTTTTACAATGATATAGTCATGATTTTCAGTAATCAGAAATTTCTCACAATACTATTCAATGCTATTCTCTAAAATACCAATTCCAAATAATCTATGAATGGAGATCATTTTTGGCTGCACCTATCTCCTCCTACACTCTAAAGTCTTGTTAATGATATCAACATTTTGAAATTAGATACTGCCTTAAATAGGCATAGACAGCAAAAACAAAATCATATATTAAAAAGAAATGAGTTCTTAATAGTGAGTTTATTTTAACAATGGCAAATTTGTAATGCACTACTACATGTTCACTAAATTATAGTAGTTCATTAAATACTGTGGATGTTATACTATTCCACTCTACTTTTTAATCATATTTCTAAATAGTAAACTGTTAGCCATGCATACTGAAATAAAATTTAACTACTAACAACAGTGAAGGAAGTTAAATGTGCAATGTTTAACATTAGTGCCTGCAAATAGAACAACGTGTCAAAAGGATAATTATTCCCTTGACACCACTATTACTGTATATACTTTTAACTCCCTCGGCAATACTTATTTACAAGATTACAAAAATGTTAATCATGATATTTATTATTTACCATTTTATAAAGAAGAAAGTTTGAAAAGAAATTTTTTTATTCAAAATTTTATAAAAGATTCCAAAATTATCAAAATATGTAAGGGGAAGAAATGCTCTCAACCTATTTTAGTGAATTTATGTGGTGAGAGCAAATGAAAAAAAATGCCTAGAAAATGCATTTTTTCAAAATTTATAACTAGCTACTTGTCATTGTTTTTATCTAAATTTTCTTTTTCAGATATTTTTTATAAATGTATGAATAAAAACATTTCTCTTCATATTTATTTCTTTATAAAATGGTATATTTCATTATAGTTTGTTCACATTTTTATAATATTGTAAATATAAAATTAGTCTTGTGAGTAAGAAATCTAATAAATAAGTGGTGTTTAATATCTTTGTTGTTAATTCTCAAGAACAAAGAAAATGTATTAATCCATTTTCATGTTTGAGTTTTATTACTTTTTAAAACAAACATTGCTTAGGGGGTCAAAAGTGTATACAGTAATAGTGGTGTCAAGGGAATAATCATCCTTTTGGCATAATATTTTTTGTGGGCATGAAAATTAAATATCACCATTTAAGTGTATAGGTATTAGACAGATACAGTATTGTAGTACATAAGACTCTTAAGATCAACAATAACCAAATGGATTTACTTAGCAGCTTGGTTCATAGATTATTGATTGATTTATTTTTGATTTATTTTACAGCTTAACTCTTTGTTGGTTATTTACAGATGAAAAATATTTTAGATGGTACATAGATGAAATTTTTATTTGTAGGACTAGAGAAAGAAATTAAGGTGTAGAAGAGAATGACACCTTAATTTAAGAAAGACACTGTCTTGGAGCTACAAGAATTCACGAGAGTACGCAAGGGAGGAGGACAGCATTCATTTTTGGAATGCTGTGCTGTTTACCTATCATGCTCACTCATTGGAGCATCTTCTCCCTGTGTGAGAAGTTGACTGGACATTTGCCAGTATGTGGCCAGCTCCATGTTGCAACTGCATTCATAAAACACCGCACAAACTTGGTGACGACTGGCTGGATGAGGTGCAGGATCCACTCCTGACTCAGATGCTGACGGACATCATTACCAGATGAGTACAGAAGAATCCGGCACAAGGTGATTGGTTTGCTGATGGACATGAAGTTACCATGTTGGCCACTGGCGTCATTGTGGAAAGCAGCAAATCCCTAGTTGAAGATGCCTGTTGGCTGTGAACAATGTAAAGACAAGCATATCAACCTGGCAGAGCTTGACACGATCTTGAGAGGCACCAATATAGCACTGCAATGGAGAGTGACTGTGGTGCACCTGAAGATTGACTCAATGTGTGTCCATCAATGGGTTTCTGATATACTGTTGGGTAATCTCGGGTGCGCACGAAGACGGCAACAGAAATGTTGATAAGACATCAGCTCAGCACAATCAAGGAAGTGGTGGAGGAATATAAATTGACTATTGACATAGAGCTCATCAGATCCCATGCAAACTGAGCCAATCAGCTCATTAGAGTGCTTCAATGTTGGCAGGGTGCCGTTTGGAAAGAAATGGAACCAGTGTGCGCCACACATCTATAGAAGAGCAGGAATAAACTCACATTCAAGCCATCCATTGATATAGTGGGCATCCCAGTGTGAAGCGCACCTTGTACTTTGTTTGGGCAGTGGTTGGAGAGTGCAAAATATGCCAATCCATTGACCTAGCTCTAGTGCATTGGAAAGTTGGTGGACGGTTAGATATGTGCAAGAATTGGCACAGGGTTGGGATGGACATAACCCATTATGAAAGCTAGCATTACCTGACTGATTGGCTTTAGACAGTTTACCACATCAGGATGCTGCCAGCATCATCAGACAGTTACAGTTGCTATTCTGCGAGAGAGGGCCACCTGCCAAGCTGCTCATCGACAATGGTGTAGCATTCTGTGGGGAAGTATTCGTAAGGCTTACCGAGAAGAAGGGCGTCCAACTTAGATTTCGGTGTGCCTATCAAATATCAGGGAATGGCAACATGGAGAGTTGCCATTGCACCATCAAACATATCTCTGCTCGATCAGGATGTTCCATCATGGAGGCGTTATACTGGTATGTTGGCACCGGCCATCACTATATACAACTATGAAACTTGCATAAAAGGTGTTGACGACACACCACCAATTGAACACACAGATCCTGGAGTCTACAGAGCATGTCATTTATGCGATCAGGAGATCAGGGAGGGGTGTAGAAAAGAATGACAATTTAAGAGAGACACTGTCTTGGAGCTACGAGAATTTGTGAGAGTACACAAGGGAGGAGGACAGCTGTCGTTTTTGGAATGCTGTACTGTTTTTTAGTTGGTAGAGACTTGGACAGTTAGAAAGTGATTACTTGGATCAGTTTCACACATTAATTACCAAAAAGTTAATTGGCTAGTATAAATTTATTAGTTGTAGTTCTGATTATTGCTAAAAAGTTTAGCAATTTGAATAAGCAATAAATATTGAAATAATGAGTATAGTTCATATGTTGTTGCAGGTTGAACAAAGTTTGTAGATGTGTTGAGCAGTTAATAATTGGATAATAATATAATGATAATTTTTTTTTTTTAAATCAGTATCACCCCAAGCAAGGACATATAGCCACTAGCATGCAAAGGGTTACGGAGTGTGGAGGAATTAAAAACATTAATAATGAGTAGAAAGAGAAAAGAGCAATCAGAATGACAGTAGATAGTGATTGACATTCCATTTAAATTTTTGCTGATTAAAGTTGACTGGAAAGCATGGGGCTGGGCAAGTGTTCCACAAATGAGAGGTGCAAGAAAAGAAACTGTCAGTACAGAAGTTACAGGTACATCTACCTAGCTCAAGTGGAAATTAATGAGATCTTGCCACAAGTCTAGTCTTGTGCTTAAATTCATACAGACTAGGTACCATAGTGAGAAACTCATCCAAACAATTACCATGAAAGTATTTATAGAAAAAGCAGAGAGAGGTAATCTTACAGCAGTGGGCAAGTGACTGAAGCCAAGC